TGGTTTCCGATTGCACCGGTAACTGACTGTCGCCAATTGGTTCTTGATACTGTTGCGCTTCAAAAGAGAGGCTGAAGATTTTCGATTGCGACGAGCAATTTTAAGATACAGCTGGCTGTCTGTAGTCGTATAGAAGCCTCAGGACTGCATGCACTGACGGAGGGACGAAATGCAGTAGCGTAATCTTGTGACAAACGCTTCAACGGTATCTCAATAAAAATGCTGGAATCCATCAGCTAGAATCTTTGTATCATTATTTGCACTAAAGACTAGATACCGGAGATATTGTCATCGTACGGGAGCCTTTCGGAACAGTTAAATGCCTCCTGCATTTTGATCAACCTACAGTACCGCACCGCGGCTCTTTAACTTCCCCGGTTGTTCGATGCGGTTACAAGCAAAATCCTGGATGTTGATAATTGAATCATTTCAATGACGCGCGTTAGGACTCATGCGATAGAACGGTGCATAGGTTTTTGAGGAAAACCATGCACAAGATTTTCATTTCATTAGATTTCGACAGTACCACCCTGTTGAAAATTGAAAATGCGTACAGATGCATGTGATTTGGAAAAGTCTCTTTAGCCGCAATTTGCGATCCACCTGTTTTGCCGCATTTTGTTTTCGGAATAAGTGATGGTACAGCAGCGGATATTGGAGATACTGTTAAATTAAGCAGAATATTCACGGCAAAGATAACGTGGGCAAGCTTCAGCAACCTAATGCGTAAAGAGCTGACATGAACTGGTACGAAAGCGTAACTACGGTCAACCGCTCGAATCAACAACAAGCGACAAAATAATAATTTTGGAAGGCGGCAACATGACAAGTTTGGAACAAGTGAAACCGAAGCACACTCTTGTCTGTGAGTCACTCGTTAAATGCGAGAGATTGCGCTTATGATGGTGATATGTATGCTGTGCAGAGATTCGCGGGGCGAACTCTTTTCAGGTGTCGCAAGAATACACGACAGTCGGCAAACGGGCTTAGGCCTAGGCAGAGTTACTCCCTCATCATACATTGAACACTGGCGCTGCTGCGCTTAGGAATTCAATCAGCAGGCGGTGCTTGATGACGGAGAACCAAATCCGTTGAAAAACTCTTCAGGATGTTGCATTCCGAACCCAATGAAATAGTTAGCCGTGGAAAGATATAAGTGAAGTTCGAGTCTCAAACGATCCTACTACATTACACTCTGTTTCCCTTGACTAGCAATAATTTAATAATGCTTCATTATTCAATATTGCGCTCAATACGCTTATTGTTCGGGTTTAGCTACGTGATTTTCAGATCAAAATCCGTCTATCTGAAGCGCACCTCCAGTTAATACCGAGGAGTCCATGAGACTTATTTTTCATATCGGCGTTAGATTTTCAGCGAAACAGCTGTGACAAACGACTAAAACTTATTAGGATCAAGCAGGGTGTGTTTTCTACGTTTTTTACAGTTTGGAATTAGCTATCAAGTTAATGGTTTACATTTCTTCACAGGTAAATGCTTGAAGGTTCCTTCGCCAGATTTTTGGATAGCGCTGCTTCTCGACGCAATAATATCGCCAAAAGCACTGGATTAAACTGGCTGCAGGAATTCGCCGTTTGATGATATGCTTCTGCCTTTGCTGCTCTTGGACCTTTAGGGCAAATCCAGATCCAAGTATTCCCTGAAAATCTTCATGCCAAATACAGTGTTTGAAAAAATACGTCATTTACAGCTGGCAGTGCGTAGAATGAGATGCCCATTAATGCACAAAGTGACGCTATTAGCTTTCCCTGCCATGTCTGTGGCACACGGTCTCCGTAGCCAACTGTACAAAGGGTAATCTGCAAAGAATTAAAGTCAACACATTTCATGGTTCGTACGTATTTTCCTACCACTCCCCACCATAAGGCATCAGCAAACGTTTTGAAATGGTCGCCAATATCTTTCTCGCACAAATAGATGAGAAACGACGAGAAAACGAGGCCCAAAAATCCAAGGTACATTGTGGTCAGCAGTTCCTTTAACATATGTATAGACTCTCGTGCAAAAAAAAACGGTATTTAGAGCAGCACTTGTCTGTGCTCAAAAACCACGCTGCCTAGCAGTTTCCACGACCCTCCTCTTCTGTCGATCCTGACCATACGCAGAATTTGAAAATATCGTAGTCCGCGTATGGTTGGGGCAGCGAACACCGGGCTGATTGTTCCCATGCATATGACCACGATGGATGCAGTGATCAGGATTAAATCTGAAATGCCGAAAAATGTCCAAGCTTCATGGTGAAAGCGCAGTTTCTTCGGAAAGGAAAAACGTGGAAGCACTTCTGACGTAGAGACACAGCAGGAGCAGATTTTTGCTTTTGGAGTTTAATGACAGATGACAGTTATGAGTAGCGCATCGTATTGATTATTACCGCAGACGCCAGAGAAAATGGATTCAATGTTTAACTAAAGCCGAAATTGTTCTTCCCTGAGATTTTATTAATTGCACCTTATGCACCTTAAGTGATCGCATCGTGTTTTACACGACGAGTCAAACCATTTCACACATGCCTAACCGAACCGTAATTCACGCTCCCTAATAGGATTAGGCAAGGCATTATTCCTCGTTTCCTGATGAGAAACTGCCGAAATCATGGTTGCAAGTCGACTTCTGAAGATGCCATGCAACCTGCCCCCCCCCTATGACGCAGGGATAGCTCTTTCGTCACCTCTTCTGTTCTCGTAAACAAATAGAAAACGCTCTGCAGCTTATTACAATAAATACAAATAAATGCAGATACATTTTCCATTTTGTTGACTGTAGTATTTCTTCATCTTCCATCGCGCTTCTCTTTTTGGGTCGCGGAGACAGAGCTTCCAACGTTCCGGACCTTGTGCCAGAGTCTGAGCTTTGGCAGAAGACAACTGGAGTCTGGAACAGACTCCTTCCATATTTTTGCACCAGGTTAATCTTGGCCGTCCCATGGAGTAGTATTTCTCTCGACTTCAGATAGGCGATTGTTCATTGCTGTTTCAGACATTTTTTTCTCTATTTCAGTCGAACTTCATGAAACATAGTATGGGTGGTTTGAACGTCACTTTCACGTGAACCCTCTGTCAAGGATTAGGGATCTGTAGTACTGTTCTTTAAGCCCTGGATGTTCCTACCAGGTCACCTGCAGTTCATCTACTTTGATCGTTTCATCAGTTGACTTTAGTAGATGCTGATGATCTCTTTTCACCAGCTCTGACGGACCGATCACCGCAGAAATGACTTCTCCCTTTTCTCTCCAGTTCTTTTGTGTTTCCATCTTCAATTGTTGATATTTTATATATTTTCCACCCGCTTACCATAACGTTGCCCTCAGTCGGGCATGCAGTATCATTAATTTGTGCCAGCCTTTTCGGTTTGTATATTTTAACACGATATCCAGGCGATGAACCGATATTTCTCAGTTCGTATTGGGAAGTCGCAGGATATTCTCACTTCCTCAGTCTTTAACACTGCTTTCGACTGATCTTTAACACTGGTGAGTCGACTCGCGTGAAAAATGTTAGTGGACAATACTTGCAATGTTATTGTACCTTTCCTTATATTTTCGATTCGGCAGCATTTCGCAGCCGAAAATTGTATGGGTTACGCGTTCTCACCCTTCACTTGGCAGATTTTGCACTTTGATTATGGCTGCATGTGCAGGATCTTCGCTTTGCATAAGTTCGCGTTCGAGTTCACTGTTTGATCTTTGGCGGCCATCAGAAGGGCATCCGTTTCTGCATGTAGTCCACTTCTTGGCCGCCATTTGAAAGTCTGGTTGATGCCTTTGTATTCACCGATTTGGCGATGATATTCACCCAGGAAGCTGTGTATTTGTCCAACCATTTTGTGGGGAGTTGTCAATGTTTTTATGACGATTTGCTGCATTTTCGGCTGTACAGTTTTATTTCAGCACAGTCATCCGTTAACCTTCACAGCCATCAGCACTCTGTCATTCACTACCGTAGCCAGATATTGCATTAGGGATCACGTCTCTAATTCAAGAGTATCGCTGTTACTGTGAATTCTTCTGTTTTCTTCTCTGCGTTGTACATATAGTCTGTATATTTCTGCTTTTGGATATACTACCCCGTACATGTTCAGCACCGTTCATATCATTCTGTCTATTTCCATCCTTTCCACTTGGTCCTTTTGATAAATTATCCTGTATAAGCTAACAGGATAATTATTAACTGTGGTTAATGGTTGCAGTTCTGCTCTTCCCGCACAACCTGCATTTCAGGACACAGTGGATTTTGTTCGCATATTCCGTCTTTGTCGTTAGTTCCATTATATTCATCTAGTATATTTAGAAATTCGGGCACGCCTAGGTATTTGTAGGACTGTCCTTTATACGAGTTGTTTATTTTACCTATCGGTAGCGTCACTTCGCTGCATTTCCTGAGTTTTCCATTCTTAAGCTGGACATGTGCACATTTATCCTAACCGAATTCCGCTCTGATATCTTCTAAAAAAAGATTCATGCGTTTTTTGTCAGATTACTCTGGTTTTCTGTTGATCTCACGTGTAACTTCAAGTCGTTCATTTACAGTATGCGCGATACTGCATTGCCGTCTTTCAACGTTCCTGCTGTTGTTAGGCAAGCAATGAACTCAACGGATTCACAATACTAGACAAAGTACAAGCAGCCAGATTGAATTTCTCTGAATGGTTTCTTGCTTGATCTCATTGATTCCAGGGAGACTTTGTTACATAACAGTGTTGTTCGCTACTGCTTCATCGCTGATTCGAAGAATTTCATTAGTTTCAGGCATTTCAGAATTCCGCTTTGTGGTACTATATCAAATGCCTTCCTAAAGTCGAGCAAGGTCATATTCATGTTGGTCATTCTCCTTTTGCAATCTCGATTTAACGCTTATCCGTGAGTGACTGGCCCTTACTTCCTGTTGATCTCCTCAGGTGACCTTTCTGTTCAGGAAATACGTTGTTCATCTCGATATGCTCTTAATTTGCACTGTTTCATATCGACACCAGGAGTATTCAGTTCGTTGGAAGGCCGCGATCACATTGCTGTAACTCATGTTCTAGTCCTTCAAGACTAGTTATGTCACTCCTTCTGTTAACCAAGAAGGAGGTCAAGCATTCTCTGCAAAAATACTGCTTATCACGTGTGGAAACACGTTAGCCGTGTAAGCCAGAAATGCATGCACCTGATCGATGCGTAGAGCTTTCATTTTCTGAGCGCTTCGCGTACATTCTTTTCAGTGATTGTGAACTATCTCTGCATTTTTTTTTGTATTTCCTGTACCCACTTAGCTTTATGGTTGTTGGTTTTGTCATTGCACCATATCTTTTGCCAGATCCAGAAGCAATTTTCTATGTTAGGATCAACAATCTTCGCATTACTTGGGGGTTTGTTCTTTGTCTCCAGTTTTCTGTCTGAGGCTTTAGCATTTTGAACGAAGGTCCTCTTCTGCTTGTACCGCTCGAACTGTTCTGGAGTTTTGCTGACACTGCTAACAGCGCCTCGCATTCAAACCTGGCTGTTTTGTTGGGTCTAATCCTGTAATTTTTTTCAGTATATTCGTATATGATATCTTTGTAGTTGGTTTGCTTCTTGGCGTATTTCCCCTGTTTCTTCTTCATTGTTTTTAACGGTGGCACTTCTCTTATTCCCGGATTTATTTCTACTTAATGCAAAAATTCTTCATTGTCATGTAAGTAGTCGTATATATCACATTGATGAATTTCAAATTACCGGTTGGTATCGTCTTCAGGACATTGGTAGCTTGACTGATATGTTCACGCAGTTCTTTTTCGTCTCTGATATAAGGGACTCGTCTTCTAGGTTCTTCAAGCCGTTCATAATCCTGAAAAATATCCTGTCGAAGCGATTTTTCGTTGTCATTAGCTGGATAATATCTGTCATGTCAGCCATTTATTTCGATGCCTCGTATCATCGATTTGTGTGACATGATTTCATTAATATGTTAAGTTTTCGACCTGTTGCCATTGCTGTCACTATCAAGCGCTCTTCTGATCACATCTAACCCCAGTTCTGTTAACAGCATGTTCTTCACAATGAGCCGTTTTTCGTCCGCTAGATGTTGTTTACTCGCATTACTGAATGGTAGTTCTTCCTCCATTCTTTCGGCATTGCTTTTCGATAATCCATACTTTGCTGCACAGTGATGTAATGACATCTTATTTCAGTCTTATTTTCCTTCTTCGACTGCTGCTTGCGTACCCATCGCCATTACCATGTGCCAAAGTATAGAAAAGACGCGAAACAAGTTCTTTCGCTCACTTATTACAAGCTGCTTCAGACTGCGCGGTCTTTGGTAACCCAGGCTTAGACCGATCTGAGATAGGAGCATTTTCATTGTGATGCACCATAATTGGTAGATGGTTGATCGCTTTTAATCTGGCCTCTCGCCTCAATCCTGTCTAACATGTGCGGCCTATCAGATGCTAAATTCTTCGCAGGCATAGTTTCGAGTGTTTTCGAGGCACTCCCGCTGTCACGTCAAGGCTGTGGTCTCGGCGTTAGGACCTCGTAATATGAAAATATAGCACTTACCTAATAAACAAAACGGCTTCAAAGCAAACCGCAGCCTGCCGCGAAACCCTTGGTATCTGGAGCGATAGCCGCAGGACACCAGTCGGCATGCGTATTCTATAGCTAGCCAAGTGACGATTACGATTTCCTTAAAATGAGGTTTCAAGCCATTAAAACATAGCAAGTATGGTATGGCAATAATGACATGTCACAAGCGATATTAAACAGTGGCGACTTATCATCGTTTAATGAAGTACCAAAAAAGATTTTCCAGGCCTGTGATGATTGCAGAATCATCCACTTCTTTATCGTTACTGAGTCACATTCTTTAAGTAAGGTATTTCTTGACATAAAAATGACAGAATTACGCTGCGAAGCAGTTGCTTTCAGATTAATGCAAGTGCGCCAGTACAGCTTTCTCGTTTCGTAACCGTTCTAATTTATATTTGCTTGATAAAATTGTTTAGATTTTAATTCTCTACCGTAGCATTTTATTTAAACAGAAATAATTTCAGCATACTGGGATGCTACTGGTTCACCTGATTCTTGCCCGCGAAATATTTATCATTCCTCCGCGTCGTGAAGGTCAGGTATGATCAAAGTACATTTTTGCGTGACAGAATTAAAATAAACTTTGCTACAGTCTACGGTAAGGGTTTTTCAGTTGGCAAAACGTCGAATTCGCAGTCGAAAGATGCGGGTTCAGATCTCAGCCGGGTCACTCAGTGTCCTTTTATCTGAGATATATATTTAAGCTCCACTTCGTGGAGGAAAACAGAAATCTACATTGCTACTGAAAGAGGTTTTACGTCGCGGGAGATCTGAACAAAGTTCGAACAAGTCTTTACTTGATACGTTTACACGCGACAAAATCCAGCCTCATCATCCAAGTGATGAAACTCCTGCCTAAATCTAGTCCCCCCAGAACAAAATTTCGTCATGTGTAAATATATCAGGCAAAATCGTTTCCGTCTGTGTTCAGAAAACTATATGTTCTGCCAACTGCGTAAATCGTCGTTATTTCGCTAGTATATTGAATGATCGTATTGGCTCAAAGATCAGCACTGCATCGTCAGATCCATGAAAGTAGGACACTAAGAGTGGTGCTTGTCATGTTAGCATGACGAAGACTGACATTCACACAGTTTCTGACTTCTTCTACCTTGCATTTGGTGGAATCTATCCCTATCAGTCCAAACGCATCGGTGTATTGCTCGTCATTAGCCAAAAAGCCGACCACTTGACATGTCGTAACGTTGGAGACGAACTGACCGCTAGTATATCGGCAGGCAAATCCACCATGGCCCCTGGTGCTGTGGCTACGAACCCAATTAAAAGATATTCTTTGCCTAGAAAATGATCGAAGATCCGTTTTTATCAGGCCGTCAACCTTCTGTGGCAGTAAGCTGACTTTCTGGATTGTTTCCCAATGAATGAGACAAGAATGCCATCATTAACCTCTCACTCGATGGTGACACGTGGAAAAAAGAAATTCATTAACGAATAACCATTTTACGTGAATAGTTTTTACGAGACATTTTGAAATGTTGATTAAAAACATATAGCTTTAACGTTCGCGCTTTAACGCGGGTGTCCAAACCATTCTTAAAATTAGCTTTGTGTTTAGTTGATCACCGCTTTCTTAAGCAGAATGTTTCTAATTTGTGATGTCCACTGTGCTCGCATCGTAGAAGAAATTCCTCTCCGACGGCAGATGTGACTCGTACCGTGTTTCTCCATGTTGCAGGTTGTCTTCTTTGTCGATGTCAGCCGTGTTAGTGGCTCTCACGTAAGAAGTTCATGGACTGGAATAACTGGCTGGTACTTAGCCAGTTTATCTAACAGGTCTAACCTCTTTTTCTTAATCTCCACACGTATTGGGTTCATCTGTGCCCGGAAGTGAATAGTCATTTTTTACGTTGTTCTGCCATTTAACACTCATGCATACACATCAGCGCTACTGTACGCAGTTAACTTGTTGTTCTTGCCCTTTCGTTAGATCGGCAGTCTTCATGCCGAACAACAACTCTGACCTGTTCCATTCAAGGTATAGGTAGATTTTTGTAGACGGAGTTACTCCTTTCTCAACCCAAATATTGGATAGGTTACCAGATGTATTCGAGCCTATTGCCTACCTTACTACTGATCTCTGTGAAACTGTATTCCGGGATGATGTCCTCGTTGTAAATGATGATGTCGATGTGGTTGAAATGGTAAACCTGCAGAAGCATTTAACTTCTGCTCTTTCAGATACTGTTTTATACTTGGTTTGTGGGTCTTGTGTGAAACTATAATGTGTAATTCGTCAGTTTTTAACAGTGGATTTCTCGTAGTCCTGTCCTAAAGGCGAACTACACTGCTTAAATGTTTATATGCATGATGAACCATATTGCCGCGGAAGTTGGGCACCAGGCTATTAGTTCTGACAGTTTTCTCAGAGCGCGGGTCTTTCCTGAGCGTGTCGTACGATTGTACTATGAGGATTCTTTGTTTAGGATGTCGAGATGAAATTCGTAATATTCTGTAGCCGTTTATGTTATTAGAGTGATCGTTGGCACGCAAATGCGGTTGCTTACGTTCGCTCGGTACAGCTACATGCCTGATCTGTTCGCAGCGAACAGTCAATGACCCCCTTTTCTGGGCCAAGGGTTATTCGTGCGAGTGTCTTTTCTAGCAGAGGCTTAAATATGAATTCCTCGATAACTGACGCAATCGGCACGATCTCCAGGATGGCCACGCCTTTCTGCCATTTATCAGAGATTACTGACTGCCACTAAATGCTATCGTAAACCACGTAAATCTATCTGAGAAGGTTTTTGCCATCGCACTTTCGGATTTTTGCGCCAGTCACCTCGTTGCCGCATGACTTCGGACTTCCGCAAAGTCGTATTGGTCGTCGAAGTTCTTAAATCGAAGGTGCGAGTTAATTAACCAGATCCACATCTTTTGAATTACCTTCTTCCACTTCACAATCTACCTCAGGACTGACCTGTTAAAGAGCTCTTCAGAACGCTGAGCACAACGTTTTCGACAGCTAGCAGCGTTTTTTAGCGGCTGATGGTTTGGATCGCTAATTTGCTGTTTCAGGCTGACTGTAGACTTTAGCCATGGTACCTCTCTACCTATCTGTACAGCTTCTTCCAACCGTCTTTCGCTGTCGCCATTCCCCACTGAAACAGTTGGATTCCAGCAATTGGTTGTCCGTCCTTGTGTACCACTTGTCGACTGTTTTTACGCAGAAATAGTGGCTGTTTTCTACTTTACGTTCAGGTCATGCAATGACACCGGCATTGCCACCCACCGTTCTTGACAAATATGTTAAGTTTGCTCATTGATCCAGGGCTGCTCGTCATCTTACTGCTAAAGCGATAAATTGTTTTGCGACCTCGTCGATTATGACTTTTTCCCGGAGGCTGTAAAGCAGTATAAAGCATGTTGAATGGTATTTCCATAGCAGCGAGTCATTCTATCTCCATTTGAACAGCTTTGTAATGGTCAGGCTCTTTAAATTTGTCTGTATCAAAGCGGATGTCTTTTATCATCGTTTTCGCTGTTAGGAAGGAGTCTTAGCAATTTTCGTTGTTGTTTGGCCACACGTACCAGTGCAGTTTCGCGTTATGCACTACAGGTATTATAATCCTCTGAAGCTCGGACGACTTTGAAAGCTCCACTGGGTTGTTAAAATCAGATAGACGTTGTCACTGGGCCGGGTAAACCCGGAAAAGTCACACGTGATTATTATTCTTACCAGGGGTATTAAAAACTAATTATTTTGTCAGGGTAATTTTTATATGTTCCAAACAAACTTGGTGTTGGTCCTGAGAAATGACAGGTTAATATTTTGTTATTACGTTTTACTGTTATTTTTGCGTACCAACGCTGACTGTTGTTTTGATGAAAAATCGAACCACTTACTGATTATGATTATGGAGCAAGTTAAATTGATTATGAACGGTTTAAAATCAGCCTGATCTGCAGCTGTGCAGAGATTTGAAAACAGCTTTTAAAGCCAAAAGTGCATACCACATAAAACAAAACGCCTGTTGTCTGGCTCTGGAACTGATTGATCGTGGCAAGAACTGACAGGATCAGGGACACGCCAATGATGACCAGACTATAAATTTAAACAGAAATACACCAAAATCAGCCAAGACGACGATTATGCAAATTATGCAGAGATTGATGCATAACTGCTAATATAATGGATTTATAGAATTACACAATATTGTATATTGTTTTATGAAAATCACAACCTACCTTTCGCTTTATTTCGACCATTTATCAATTCTCCTGCGCTTTCTTACATGTCAGTCATGACATGTGTCAATCATTGTCTACCATCCCTAAGGCACCAAAATTGTGCAAAAAAATTTTGCTCTGCGTGAATAAAGGACGCTTTTAAATAAAAAGATGACCGTTGGGTCACTTATCCTTTTAGCTTCTTCAACTTATTGTGACAGCAAAGGAGTTACGCAGAATGCAAAAGAATCTCTGACATTTACAGCTTTACTGCATGCCTACTGAACAGTAAGGACGCAAGTCTGGCTAACTATGGAATGGCGAAACGAAAGCATGCGATATGCTTCTTTCAAACAAATCGTTTCATCTTTATTCATTTCTCGCTCGATTTTATATGCACTTCTCATTTTTATATAACCTGTTTTTTAATCAAGAAAATTTGCAAAGAATTTTTTTGCTCCTGAAATTTCGAATCTTTAGTTTAAAAGTTAACTAAATTTCTAAGATTTTAATTCAAGTGGTCGTTGCGAGCGTTTTGTTTCATGAGCATGAATAGTGGGCCGTGGCTTAAAATTTTTGATCTCTGGTACAAGTGGCTGAAACAGGTATTCCGAGGCGAATCGCTGGATTCAAGCGTCTCGACATGATCCGGACTTCAGATATCCAAGATTGCCTTGGTGTACAGCCACTGTTTTTCCAGGTTGAACTGTCACAACTGCGATCACTTGGGCACGTCTTACGAGTGCTTTTAGAAGGGAAGGCGAAACAGCTACTGCTTGCTCAATCGACCAGTTAAAGAACTCGGGGAAGGCCAAGATTAATCTGGAGAAACTGTCTGGAATAGCTCTGATCCAGACTCGAGTTATCCTCTGCCGAAGCTCCATCGCTGCAACAGGATCGCAGGAAGTACTGACGATCGACTGATGGATAAATGAGACACTAGGGACACTGTACGGCTCGTCCGCGACCCAAACGGATAAGCGTTAATCGAAACTGACTGACTGATTTATTCATGGGCTTTACTATTTAGCTTTTTGGTTAACGTTACAGTACGGCATTCACTGAAAAATTTATGACCACAGATTCTTGATCGTCTTTTTTTACTATCAATAAATGCGATAAAAGAGTTTATGGAAATCGCAAACTTGCGACAGTTCCGCTATGGTTAGGGAAATGAGCTGAAATGTTAGGTAACAGAAAAATACTTGCATCGAGCAATGGTATGCGATGGCCATGATTCCATGCGGACGTTCCAGGAAATTGTACAGGCTGTGTTCGGCTCTCCTGAATAACCTTGATGACTTTGACAATTTGCAGGTACTGTAGATGTTCTCATTTGACGATGTCGTGAACTGCGCTGAAATCTCGAACATCGAGTCCAACGATCTTTGCGGCACTTAAGTCACAGAAGTGATCGCATCGTTCAGTTCATCTCTAGTATATATACTCACTGTTAAGCACAGTTTCTTCAGTGAGTACAGTTCACTCGTACGCCGTTAAGTTCCGTATCCAGCTGATACTGAGAGATGTTCGCGCTTTCGTTCTTTGCTCTGACCTCAACTTTCATCACGTGTAGTTAATGTTCATTCTTCTCAAAGGCACACACTGGCGGACTAAAAACGGATTCCACTGATTAAATCTGTGGTAGAAAAAATAATATTTGGAGCGAAGCATTTCGATTACAGTTATCTGCCAATTATCATCAGAAAATGGATAGACCGGAAAAATGCTGAATATGCATACAGATTGTGCGTAAATTCTTATACGATGACAGCCGAGATTTTTGCCTGGAACGTCGGTTAAAGTTTCTAAGTTGCTTGAATATATGCTGATTTTAACAGTATGTTTAAACTCTGAATTGGTCACCGATAAGCTTAATTAGAGGCGAGAGAGGAGCGCTTTATTTATGAGCTAGAAATGATCAAAAACGAGTTGCAAAAGTGATTCCGTTTTGCTCGATTGGAACCATTTCAGTAGTGCTTGAATAAGACTCGATTTCACTTCGCCTTTTTTCCTCAGGGTAATAATTTGATGCCTTTCGTTTCGTGGAGTACGTGCTGTTCAGATACAGTCCCCATGTTGTTGAGCCGTAAGAGACGGGGCTAGCGCAGACAAACCACAAGTTACTAAATATGCTTCTACAACGTGGCGTAACGAGCAATCACAGTTTTTTGCTATTGTCATCACTTTAAATTGTTTACAGTAACAGAACATCACTGATTCGTAGTCAGTTATATATTTAGCTTGCACTTTTCGTTAAGACAATGGTAATGGTGTCGCTGACGTAATAGTGCCTTTTCGAACTCAAATCTGCCTCTGTCTTTTCATGCGTGTTGCATGTTGTTGATCAGGTTGAAATCTGTCCCATTTCAGCTCCAAAATAAGACGCTAATGAGGCGCAGTGAGGGGGGGGGGTGCTCAACACTACACACTGTTTGATCATTTTTCTTAGTCCTTCATTAGTACAATGGCGCCG